AGAATGATTAGTCTATCTGTCTCTTATTCACTCTTTCTTCCTCACTCTACCCCTCTTTGTTGCTCTTTTCGCTTTCTCTGTTGCATTCTCTCTCTGTCTTTAAGTCTCTTACTCTCTTTCTATCTCCGTCTCTTTTACTCTTTCCTCTACACACTCCCTCTCACACATTGTCTATTTATACACTCTCTCTATTTCCGTTTTTCCACTCTCTTTATTATTTACTTTTCAACAATATCTCTCACTTCCTTTACTCTCTCTAATTACCACTTTCTCCCCTCCCCACTCTCAGTTTTATTTTCACTTACACTCTCTGTTCTACATTATCCCTGGCACATTATTTTTATGTGTTCTCACACACTCTCTCTCTCTCTCCCTGTCCCACTTTTAGTTCCATTTCCCTTCACTCTTCCTTTTCTACACTCTGTCTCACATATTATCTCTATTTTTTCTCACAATCTCTTTTAAACACTTTTGCTTTCACACTCTGTTTCGGCACTATTTTTCAGACTCTTTTTCTTTCTCTTTCTCTGTAACAATCTGTCTCCCATACCTTTTTTCCGCTTTATATCACACTTTCACAATCTCGAAGAGAAAAATTTTATGTATACTAAACATAAGTTGTTTTAAAGCACAAATTTGATCACTTTTTCTTATTATTCATTTGGCTAATTAATATTTTGAAAATAAAAATCTTTGATAAAAAGAGTTTTCATAACCAACTTTTGAGAAATAAATGATTTTGTTAAATGTTCCAATATTTTCAATACATTTGTGTCATATGTCTACAGGAAATAAAAGTCTTCAGTTTCACTTAAGAGAGCAGTCACGTATTAAGGATGTCATGACTTGACGTTTGATGATGATGAAAGGCCGATGAACTGTGTGTGAATTTCGCTAAACTGAGTACAAATGAAGAACCATATACGAATGAAGGTGTTTGCCTCACCCATGCAATCATTCAAAAATCTAGTCCTGTCATAAATATATAAATAAATAAGCAAAAGGCAGTATTCGCTGGTAGCCAGTTCCCAGCTCAGGCCTTCAGACAAATAGGGTTTTAGAGAAGTACTTTTTTAATGGTTTGACATTCGTTTCATCGGTAAAGACAAAAGAACTATTGTATTATTTAATTTCTTCGGGTTGGATTTAATTTTTGTTTTTTTATATCTTAAAGTTTCTTGTGAAAAATGTAAGAAAGTAAGACGGCTAAAAACCGTTAATTGTTGTCCATGAAAATATGATTGCTAATATTATTCTATTTAATTCCACCCAAGTGCTTTATAAATTATATTGGACGGATTTCTCATGGACTAAGCAGTCCATGTTTTACATTTTATAGGAGTATATAAAGAAGCAGAAGCAGGTCTCCTCTAATAATTTGTTATCAGCAGTATTCTATGTATAACGTGAATTCTCTTCGAATAAGAAAAATTATTTTGCTGTGGTTAACCTTTGCCGCATCTAGATCTGCCTTTCAACTTGGTCTTGAACGTTTACACTGTGCATTTCAGATGTCTTAAAAATGTTTTTTTCTAAAAATTTGTAGAATTTTGTTAATTTTGTTGACGATCGCACAAGAGATATCTAGGTCATATTAAGAAATCGTTCTACATCACAGAATTGGAATCAGCGACAGTAAGTCGGAAAGTAGTCAATAACAGAGCACGGCTTTGGTAGAGTGACAGTCCTTTCGGATTGGAGGACATGAATTTTGTAGTGAAATTAATTTCGTTGTTTTAGCTCTCACTCCATTTAGGGCTTTTTATTCACTTTTTTCCATTTTAGTCATCATTTTAGTTTTTTTGCTCAAATGAAATAAACAATTCAACAAACAAGTTATAAGTTGAGTAGGAAAATGCAATTTCATTTTATGAATGAGTAAACATTTTGCATTTGTGTTTGAATTTAACAATTGCAAAAAGGATTAAAATCCCAAAAATAAATAACGAAAATACTTGCCAGCACTCAAATAGCGGCAATCCCATAAAAAAATGCGACAATGAATAAAATAAAAATAAAAACGAAAATAAAAATAAATGCAGAAATAAAAATAAAAATACAAATAAAAAAAAAACGCAACGAAACAAAACGAAACGAGATGAGACGAGACGAGACGAGACGAAAATGAAAATGGAAGGGAAAAAACATAGCAAATGTGTTGGCATATGTCATTGTATGTGTGCTTTTATTTCGACAGTTCTCATGTGTGTATGAGCTGCGATGTCTTCAGTACGTTTGTGGTTCTATGAAGCGTATGAGTGACATTGCCTAATAAATCACTCAGCAAGGAAGCAAGTGCCAACATTTTCATTTACCGCATTTTCATTTGTTCGCATTTGTTTTGTCATTTATGAATGCGGAAAAATAATCATAAAATACGTTGAAGTGTTCGTATGTGAATGTGAATGCGAAAGCGAGTGCTTGCGACTGTGACTGTGACTGTGTGTAGGCATGATTGCTGGCATGCATATGTGTCTGTGTGCCTGTGTACATGTGTGCATTTGAGAGTGACATGCCACTGATGACACTGGCAAAATTTAATTTTTATTTAGTTGCTGCAAATGCATTCTGAACTCCACAACAGTTTTATTAACGGGCTCAATTGGCTTTTTATTATTTGAAAATTTCTAGTTGGCTGCACTTCACTTTGGAAAATATGTGCCAAAAAAATCCAGAGAGCCAAACGAATGCAAAAGGAATAAGCGATGTTTTATTTAATCAAGTCAGAATCGAGTTTAAAATTTCATGAATTCATATGTGTTCAGCATTTTTAATGTGAATTCAGCAAAAAGTCTTATCAAATTTTTTTAAAAGCATTTGTAATTTGAATAAACGCAGTTAATATTTCAAAAACATATTACAATTCATAAAACAACTCAATTGTTTACAAGTGGAAGTAAACAATGGAAATTTTATTTTAATTTCATAGATTTCATAGATTTTATGGATTAAACCCAAGCAGATTTATCTTGCAAATGAGTAACACAACTGCAGAATATCTAAATAATATTTTTTCAAGTTTTGCGATAATGTTCCGCCATATGAATGCATTGAGTATAAAGAGACCCACAACTAATAAATTATACATATTAGTTTTTTATTCCTTCTTCCTTCTTATTTATTATTTTTTTTATTTTATTCCTTCCTTCCTTCATTCCTTCCTTTTATTCTTTACCCCCACAGGATGTTGCTGTACATTTTGGAGATGCTTTCTTGATCCAAGAAACAAATAAGTCTGTCTTAAGGATGTTATCATCTCAAAAGCAGTTTATTGAAACAACTTAAGCTATGTACCAATTTTTATCCATTGTATATTTCCTTAAGTGTGATGTTTCATATATGAGTTACAAATAGTATTTTCGTTTTAATAGAAACTGAAACACAACCGATTCGTGTGATTCTTTTTCATTGAATTGTTATGATGATAATAAGAACTTATGTCTAAACCTTAAGATCTAAGCATCACTTTCAGCTTCGTTTCTAAACATTAGCATAAAAGGCAATGTTTCACAAAAGATACATTAATGCTGGGCTCGCAAGTTGCAGGCGTCATTTCCAGCCTTTGTTCTATTGAGATTATATTTACAATAAAATAGAAGCGTTGCTTCCAATTGAGATTATGTTTATATTAAAATAGAAGCGTTGATTCGAATTGAGATTATATTTCCGTTAAATAAGAAGTGTGAAAGTGTGGTGTATGTATCGCATTATATATTTAAGGTATATTACTTAGGGGTAAGACTATGTCACTTGAAGCTTTCAACCTCTGTTATAAGTTTATATCTAATTCTGTTAGCAGATTAGTTAATAATATCTAAAATATTAAGCAGAATAAGAATGTATGAATTAATATACGATTAGACCTATGGGGTATCCAGGAACGTTCTTAACACATTAAATATACTAGGAAAAATTATTTTTTGTGTTTTTGTTGCAGCTCAATTAATGTTTGTATTATATCGTCAAGGAAAGGAGCATAAGTGATGTTATAACATTAAGCTCCTCCCCCCAGTATTCCTAAATTCAACACTGGACTGCACACTAATTGTGGTTTTAACTTCATATTTTCAAAGATTTCCAATCACTTATGTAGAAGATCTGATTCTAATTTTTTTTGTGATATATTTTTTATATTTTTTGTATCAGTAATTTATCTCATAAATATTTTTGCAAATAAATTTTTCAACTATAAAGCGCCAATTTTTTGTAATTTTTTGCAATTTCCAATAATCCAATAACTTATTGTTCTAGAAAGTTTTTCATCTACCAAGCACCAGAAATTTGTTTTTTTTTGGTGAATATATTGTCGAAATTAAATAATATAAATTAAAGGAACATTATCAAAAATAAAAATATTATAATTATCTTCCAAATAGTAAACAGTGATCTGAAAACGCCACATGAGTGGAGTGATTGGTCAATCTCTTCGCTCCATAATCGAAAAATTTGATTGCAAAAACAACCAAGAATTATACAAAGAGAATCTATAATTAATTTAATGAGTAAAACCTCAAAGGAAGAAAATATTTTATCACAGAAAAGCAATCATTTTCTGTAACTTTGCATATTAAATATTTGGAGCTTTAGTTCGCAACTGAAATTCGTTAAGGTTTTATTTTATAATTAGTAACGCATTAGGTTGCATTTGTGTGTTTTTTGGGCAGAGCATTTGAGCATTTGTCTTCTTAGTTATATTCAAATATTTCAAAACAATGAGCAGGACATGGAAAATGGCAACGTTTGCACCATAATTCATTTGGTCCCAGGCACGCAATTAAACTGCTTTCGCTGCCATACCAAAACCTCAGCCCGGCCGCAATAAAGTCACAAATTTTCAACTTTACCACATTTACAGCAACAACAACAAAGTCCGAATTATTTGTGCACTCTGCCCATTCTAATCCTGATATTGTTCTGGTGTTCCTGCTGCTGCTGCTGCTACTGCTGCTGCTCAAACTACACACAAATATCAACGACAAGTATACAAACAGACTGCTTACCATTAATTCTCTATCTGAAATAATTGCAGCAAATGTAATCGACATTACGGGACCCATAAGTGGTGAGACCAGCATCGCCGCAACAATATTCGGAGCATTATTTTCGACTAAACCTAATGCGGCCAAAGAGCTGTAAAAAACGAAAAATTATTTCAAAAACGTGAGAAACACAGTAATAAAAATAATAAAAAAGGAACAAAAATATGTAATAATAAACAAGAAGTAAAAACTTGCATCAATTAGAAAATATCTAAAAATATTGTAGTAAAAAATTGTAGTAATTAAAAAATTAGGAACCCAAAACATATACCGATATACTAATGCTTGTAGATATACGAATATTCTAAATCAGTTATTCTATTTTATACTCGTATCCAACAAAAGAAGCCGTCGTCGATATTTTTATGAACAGTTAAGATATCCAAGCTTTATTTTTCTAAGGGTGGATTCTTTTACCGACTTCAGGGATACAAAAATATTTAAAAGGTCTAAAAGCTTGTCTAAATAGATGTTTCCAATAAAATATAACTATATGTACTCAGAAGGTATCACCCTGAAAGATTGAGTGGGCGTAGTAAATATGGTGACATTGAGATCAATGTTGGCGTAGCTATCGTATCGTTTTGTGCATCATTACACTTTCCACTCATACGAAGCGGATTGCATCGGATAGCCCGATTTTAAAAACTCTTACTCAAGAAAAGCTTTTCGGCCTGAACCCTAATTAAATGTGAGAACACATTCAATTATTATTATTCTAATAATAAATATTGCAACATTAAAACTTGGTCACCTCTAAAGCATCACTCTAAAAAATATTTCAAGCTCTGTCAAAGGTTTATGCTTGTTTCTAAATCTTTTGGTTTCTAATGCGATAACGCAATAGACCAATTTGTCTAAGTGGACTCTTAAGAACGCTGATATAACCTACCTTAACCTAACATAATATGTAAGAATGTAGCTACCTCCCAAGGATGTGAGTATGAGCTTTCTTGAAACTTCTAAACCTTGTAGCATGGTAAATGTCTACGAAGTTACTCCAAAATATAATACAAAGTCTTATCAAAACTTATTAATTATATATAAATAATAATAATATATAAATAAAATAAAAGCGAGATTTGATTTAAATTTGGTCACCGTGACAAGACTTTCTGTGCTTTATTATATTTGTCAAAACGGTGGTGTTCACTTAGAAATATCGAAGTTTCCACACATTATGAGTATTCATTATTTGAATTTTAAATTTGAACACAAAAAGATATACTAGAATAATAGTAAAAGTTGGGAATTTAAAATTGCGATATGACCAAATAAAACTTCAAATTGCCGTGACCATTCATCATATAATCATGATAATATGACTATTTGACTGGGTATACAGTGCACACGGTATAAAAACACATGCTGTATAAGACATCAAAAAGAGAGAAAGTCTTTAATATACAAATATTTATAATTATCAAATATACCCCATCCTATTAGATGGATTTAATATAATTTAAAAAGGAGAGATTCTTCATTATTATTATCTTCAACAAAATGTAAATATTCTACTACCAAATGCCTGGATAGCTCATTGCACAGGCAATCATAACCCGTTAGCTAAAAATGCTTCCTGCATGCGTAAGCATCTAATGTGCCAACATTGCTGACCTTAGCGTAACTGACCAAGGTAAATCTCAACTTCAACAAAAGCACATGCAAGAGTTTATTTAGCTTTGGTTTTATTTGTTGATTTAAGTTGATAGCCACTTAGGTCGTATATCCCTTTACCTCCCTCAGTGCAATAGAGAGATTATTCTTACTGAAAATGTACATACTCAGCTGTAACAATAAGCAGTAGATAATCAAAGGACAATGCCCCTCCAGCACGTACGCCGTCAACCACTTGTTTGACTGTTAGCTTCGATTTAATTGATTCCACAAAGTTGTTCCACTTGGAGAGCTCCTCCGCCTCGTTGGTGTCAGCACTGAAAATATAAGCAAAGTGGGGAGCTCATTAAAAAATAACCAGATTTTAAGTACAAAATAAAATAGATCGAATGTTAACATATTTCCAAGTCAATTAGTGTGCAGATGCAATGTTTTTTGATGAACTCATTTGCTTTGAAGTACGAAATGCATATATTTTTAATTCTCGAGGATTTTATAAAAGAAATGGAACAGTATATGCTTTAGCTTGAAGTATCTTAATTATTCTCACAATACGCTTTTCCCAATTTGTTTTTCATGTTTTTAATGTCCTTCAAATATTTCTCCGTTTTCTGTTTTTCACATAAGTCGGTCGTTGCTTAGCTTTAAAAATGCATGAAATGGGAGAGTAGAAGGATTATCTAAAACTTATCTGTAGTATTATTTTTACAAGGACGGATTGGACTTTGAAAGTTAGTTTCTATGAACTACTCACAAAGTAATCAATGCACCAATGAACAAACCTTAAAACTACGTTCGGCTGCATAAAGGATATTCGTCAATTAATTATTTTCGTTATATTTTTTTTATACTTATGAGCACAGTTTAGGTTTAACCCAGTATTTAAGTGCCATACGTCGTCAGGCATCGGAGTGGGATGGTTTTTGACAAAAAATGATTTGATTACCACCAATATGGCTGAAATTTTATTCTCAATAATAAAATTTAAAAATTGATGTTTCTTTTGCTTTCTTTCGGTTCAATGTCTAAATATTTATTTGCGAGATAAGGACTTATGAGGATATAGCCGTATCTCTGCTATCTTTTTTTTGCATTATAAAGATAATTAATTGTACATTTTGGAAATGTTTTAAATAATTGAAACTGTTTATAAATCGGTATTAATATATTAATGATAATAACATGCATATAAAATCTTAATTGTTTGTCTCTGATTATTTCGGAAACTATATTTTCACTTTTTAAGTTACTACTCGTATTACTACTATTAACTAAATGACAATATAATAAGTTTCTACAGATAAGTCCAGAAAATAATTAAGATTTAAGGTTTACATACATTTCATATTTTAATAGAGATATCAGATAGGTTCAAGCAATTCCAGCTGTGATTGGATAATATAATTGGCCAATTTGCCTAATTGAATTGTGGGATTACCATTATCACCGACCTATCAGTTATCTATTTCAGTGAATTTCGGATTATGCAACATTTTCAATGCCACTGAATGAAAACTAATATTATTATTTTGAATATTTGGAAAAATTTGATCTTAGCTTTTTTACATATAATTGCCTACAACTCTGTCAACTTTATTCTTCTACGTCTTAACGTTATGGGGTCACCTCTTCATGTGTAGTATGTCTAAGTCACATGTACCTATATTGTCTCTCATTTACGCCAGACTAGCGCATATTAGTTTCAATAGTATTCTTCTAAGTTTTGAGGAAGTTTCTGAATTTTGCAGATGGAAGAGGAAACTTTATCTGCAAAATTGAACTTACCGCGTCAGCTTCTAGAATGCCCTACCAGAGCATACGGTCGTACCATATTGCACTTAATATTTCTGTCATATTTTATATTTTAATTGTGTTTAACAAAAGAAAGGACAAAGTTTGTGCAGCCTTGGCTACTTATGGATAAACACGATTAGTCAACGCTTCTAATTTGACAGACACGAGTTCCAAATCCAAACAATTTATATACGTCTAAACAATTTATATACGGACTATTATATACGGAAATTTCAATTATTTCCTAAGACCACTGATGAGGAGTACTTGACAATACTCGAAACAGCATTATGTGGTCAGCCAAATTTCAATAAATTAAATAAATATAAGTATAAAAAAATTAATTATTTCCTGAAAATTAGAAACAGATATTTTTCATAAATATCTGCTCTGAGCTCTTCTGAATCACCGAGCTCTTCTGGACCACCGTTAGTCATAAGAATCACAATACAGAATAAATCACAGAAAAAGGTGCAGCTAAACAAAAGAGCGACCAAGCCGTTCACCAATATTTCTATCAAACTTGTGTCAAGTGAAGCAGTGTCTTTCTGAAAAATGTCCTTTTTGTACTTTCTAATTCACTTCAATTATAGTTCCATTAAACATTCAAAGTACTACTTAATCGCATTAAGAAATATAATTTCTCGAAGGTCCGCTTCAAAAGCAGTTCTAATTAGATTTGCAAGTTAAAAGCATAGTACGATCTCCTGATTCACAAAAGGACAGGGCATTTGATTTGGAAGGCACGAATCAAAGTAACAAAAATGAAGGTAAAAACGAATTAAAATAAAATAAAATGCAATAAAAAAAAAATAAATTTTAATTAAATTACATGAAGAGTAAAAACATTGAATGTAAAATACTTTATATGAAAATTTAAATTTTAATCTCTTTATCACAGATTTAAGTTAATGTACAATAATCGACATAAAGGCTTTGTTGCATATATTGACCGGGGGCTCAAGGGGATACATTATTCTAATATATTTTTCCTATTATACTTTAACACTAAAATTAACTAAAAATTGTGTTAATGAAACGTCAAAAATAGTATCGAAGGCTCTTATCATATTTAAAAAATAATCACCAAAAACGAAATGAGAGAAGAGTTATTTTCAGTAGCGTTGAGGCTAGGAGTGTGCCTGAATAGAACTCTTGATACCAATAATAATACTAATTTAGTATCTACGAGAACTAATGTAATACTACTTATATATGTATGTGTATATACATATGGATGTATGTATTAAGGAAGCTGTTGCTTACCTTTATTTTAGTTAATTTAGTGAACTGTAAAAAAATCTTTACACAATTCTGGCTACGCTACTGCTAACGTTTTATATTAAAATATATAAATTCAAAGATTAAGTATTACCTAATATACGTATATCCATATTTATTAGAAACGAATATAAACTTTTTTTCTAATAACTTTGAGAGACTTGGAAGTGGTGTTCACTTCTAGGACGGTTAATCTCTCCAAAAGCAAGGTGCATTTGATCGCCTATGATATCATTCTTCTTCCGCCAGACAATATCCATATTCCTATGTTAAAAATAATCAATTATTACTACTTATTAATCGAATTTAGTACTTTTGAATAACAACTTCATACCAATGGTGGTGTGACTCAAAAAAATGTAAAAGAAAATATATCGGAATATCGGCCATTATAATATTCTTAAACCATACTCGTATGGACTATAGGTCAGCGAAAAAGAGTAACATATAGAGGGTTGAGTTTCATAAAAATATTTCTGATATTTATACTGTATTTTGTGGATGATTAAATTTGTGAAAGTTTTACTCTTTCGGATAGCATTTTCAAATATTATCTTCTATATCTGATGAAATTCGTTTGAGGGCTTTATTCTATATATAATGTTTAACATATTGGATTCTTAAATCATAATTATCATGCGTAATTATGATTTTTAGGACTCTTTCTCAGTTTTCTTTAAAGGATGCAACTTTTGGCACTTATCTTTTGTTCAAGTTATGTTTTTATTATCTTATCTTAGAACAATTAAAACTTTTAAACAGGAACAAACTTAACTAGCTCACACTACTTATTTAGCCGCATATATCTCAACGAATATTTAATAAGTATTTATTTTCATATTCATTATCATTATCATTTTAATATAAATTAATATTTACCTGGACACTTACATCGCAATAAAATATCATGACAGAATGTGTATAATTTAAAGAATTAGATCAAGTAGATTAGGATCTCACATCTTCTTCACTATTATAATGTCATTTGATCCAACCAACAGAGACGATTAAAACGGCGAAATGTCCCTGATATGGCATTAAATTAGAATGTAAAGTAATTTGTGTAGAAAATTGCTTATTTATGTATGTATAGTATTTATCAGATTCAAGCTACTCGTTATTTATAATGTAAATAGTTGTAGCAATAAAAAAAAAAAAAAAAAATTTGATCCAACCATCGAACTAAAAAAAAATTCCAAGCATTACTGTTGAGGGAAATTTGGATATATACCAAACAGTCGTGCAACCAAGCAAAAAAATTTCGTTTAAGTAAAAATAAAATTTGTGCCGCCATATTTAATTATTATTTTCAACTTCCAAATACATCCAAATCCCTCTATTAAATTCTAGTTCTAAGCAAAGTAGATATATTTAAGATCGTACTGCCTTCACTGCTCAAGGAGACCTTCCCGATATAGGTTGCTATGTAGGTAACTTTTTTATTTAAAGTACTTTTCCATTATTTAGCATAAGCCTTATTTGAGCAGAAGATCTCCGGGGACCTTTATTTGGGTTCGGTTTATTAATGCTACAAAACTAATAGGAAATCTGAAAGTCACTAAGACAATTTTACAAATCTTGCAGCTTAGCTGATGTGTTTCTTAAGTACTAATAACCAAGGAAAATGAGAAAATTTAGCAAAATTTGTAGTGAACTCCACTACAAAGAATTAAGAAGTGAAAAAAAACTTTTATTTTTAATAGAAACTTTTTCACAAGCCGCCAACTTCCTTTTGTTTGTTTCTTTATGCATTACTACACTCTGTTCAACTATAATTAAATTAAAATAGCTTAACAAATCGTTTAAGTTCTATCCTTGACCCAAAATGAAAGACTTCGAAGTACGAAACGAATATTGCAGGCGAAAAAAAATTACCAACCCAACTCAATTCAACACAACTCATCGGAAAGAACTACTTTGCATAGAAAATGTTGTTGTAGCTGCGGCTAATACTCAGATGAAATGGTCGGCGGTGTATTATGAGGCGGCCAATGCTCATATATGCACAGCCGCATTCAGGCAAATCACACACGTACAGTGCGCATGCAGATTAGTTGCAAATAGCTGCACTAATATGCATACAAACCGTCGTGGGGTACGGTGTACAATGTGCGATGTGCGATATGCAATGTGCAATGTGCAATGTGCGGGATATGGTGTTGTAGGTATGTGCACTGATTCCCTTGGGTCAAGACAGAATTTTCGGTTGCATACGCTTTAACTCAATGCAACAGGAGCAGAGAACCCACCCGGGAATATCGTTAATGAAAAGTAAACTTCAACAAGCATAAAAAAAGTTACAAGTTATTGAAACATTGAAAAATATTTTATTTTCTTTTCTGCTTGTTACAAACAAGCAGAGAAGCTTAAAATATCAAGTTTCGTCCATGCATCAATTGAAGGACTAACAAAACCTTCAAAAAGTTTCGCAGAAAGGAGTAGATTCTCTCGCAACCCGACTGCACTCAATAAAGTTTCAGTTTGCAACAGAATCTCAACAATTAAAAGAATTTGTGATACATCGGTTCTAGTATGAGGGAATAGAAATGCTGCTATGTGAGTATGCAGGAATATGTGTTGGCGTGTCTGCTCTTCAGCATAGAAATATTTTAAATTGTTTTGAACTTTGGACGCAGAAGTGCTTGTAGTAATGAGCACTTCGGAACATAAATTGAAACTAAGCGATGGTGTCGGGTGAGTCCGTCAGTTTTGTAGTTTATGTATGCCCGTCCCTCAAAAAGTAAGCGTACCCATAACATATAAACACATACATGTCAACATTTTTACAATGAAACTGTACTCACCTGTACTCCAGCCTATTGGCTGCCTCGCTGAGTGCATCGTAACTGACGCTACATGGCAAGACACTGTAAAAACCGAACAATACAGATTCAAAAAATATTAGTATCGTCCTTAAATAAACCAAAAAATTACCATATGTAAATAAAATAAAAATATAAACTTCATAAATGCATTTAAATTGGTTTATTGTTGGCATATAAAAACAAAAGTGGACGTTGAAATGTTGAGACCCGGCGTTATTAAAATTTACTGGAGTAGCGTAGTTATCGTGTGATAGCAGCTGTATGCATATGCCGCAGGTTTTTAGTTTTTTCCCTTTCCGGATGGAACTCTTCAGTTTCAAAAACTACGAAATATACATAACCGCTCATGTATATGCATTCCCGCACGCTTGACTGCTTCTATGCATAAATGCACACAAATTCAGAATCAAACACGGACAGCTGACGACTTTTTTGACTCTGACGTACAACCGATTATTTTCGCAAATAGTAAAAATCCAAAATATTCAAGCGATTCCATTGTAAATTCACAGTAGTTGAATTTATTCTGGCGTTTGAGTCTTCTTCCTTTTTTCGCAAAACTTTACGATAAAAAATCTTAATTTGGATTGCTTTGTAAAAATGTGTAAATTCACCTACGAAATAATCAATGTACTCTGAAAAGAACCTCCAAACAGCCACTCAAATATAAACGTCTTCTCCAAACACGCGATTCTAATCGCCTGTAATGACATTAAACGTTTTCACACCTTCACCCCACACACCTACACTTGCATACATAAATTTTAATTGCATTTTACACTTCTCATGTACTTTGGCTATTGTTTCCACTTAAAAATCTAGGAAGTATTTCCACACCTCTTATCGCGCTGCCATTTTTCTTCGGCTGCGCTTACCTAAGACTGTCTGTTATCTTGATAGGCTGCTGGGCTCCAACAACAGTCTACCTATGAAGGGAATTTAAAATACTGCACTTGAACGGGATACGCTGTTCGCAGCCATTAAACTCATTAAGAAGTAAGATTGCACGTCTGCTTGTCCACACAACACTGAGATCCTTACCAACACCGCAACGTTGCTTTTGTTCTGTTTTAGTTTCCACTTACCTGACACTGGAGTTTAGTTTTGTGCCAATACCCAGCTCAGTTAAACAATGCAATGTTGTTTCGCAGGGTTCACCCGCTTGCAGTGGAAAGATAACGTGATGAAAGTAGCCTCGCTTGCCCGTCGTCCATGTTACGTGCTCAATTTCCAGTTTTACAAGCAACTCCTCGAGCACCTAGACAATATTTCATAGAGAAGAGAAAACGATAAATAAACGCGCACAGTATTTGGATTAATAATGAGTAAAAATATATACGCTGAAGCTACAGAAAAATCTAAAAGCAAGAAAAATAATATATAAAAAAACGTTATTTTTGAAAAATTAAAACTTTATTATAGCATACGTCACACAAATACAAGGTAATTTCGAATATAAACAAAGTTTTTTGAAGCAACCTATTTGTGATGAGGTCATCTGTTAGCAATTACATCCATTGAGGAAGCCAATCACTCCTCATAGTCGTTTAGTTTAACACCGCTCACTCTTACCTTCTAAGAAAGAAAACGTTTGCCGATAAAAGAAAGCGTTTTCTGGACGTAGAAGTTGCTGCTTAAGCATATTCCAAAATTAGCCATATATGGAATACATGGCAACGTTTTAAAATAGTTTTAAATACAATTAAATTCTCTACACACACTTTCATTGTCATGTTTATTTTAGAACGCATATTATATTATATAGAAATGTACGAAAAGAAAACAATAGTCGGCAAAAAATGGACCTTATCTCTTTTCGCACTTAGTCAACTTCTTTTTATTTTCTTAACTCAAAATATTCCTAACGAACTACTAGATTCTATCAGCAGCTATTCTTTTGCAAATATCTCAAGTATTATTTAAAATTCTACCATAAGTTTTCATCTACTCTATTAGGTACCTACCAATCTCAACCAAATTTGTGGTGGTATTTTAGGTTCATTTAAGGTTTCATAGCTGAAAGAAAGGTGATAGATACACCGCTCAAAAAACTTTAATATAGTAGACTACTCGAAAATAAGAAAAAAATGTTGTGATTCCTATAAACAGCGTCATGTCACAGATTCAAGTAAAGCAAGTTTAGAAATGATACGAATAGTTGTTTCGAACTAAATCCAGACCAACAAAGGCTTAAGTGTAAAAGGTTACAAATGATATCGTAAGAAAGTGTGATATAAAAGATTTATTCAGAAGCCAAAGTTTGAACATTTTCCAATTTTATTATAAGGTATTGGACAAGTATTGGAGTTCCAGAGAAGAAAAGCAACACATCCGTAGTAGTTGTTTTGTGTTAACAACTGACCCTAGCGGAACAGAAGTCATGCAGCCATTCAAATAAAACACAGAAAATTGATTATTTGAAGCTCTGCTACTACAAGATAAAAATGAAACTTCCTAGCTCAAGCATCTTCTCTTACCTCAAAACAAAGCCGGACAGTCACAGCGAATATGACTAGAGGAGTTATATATCAATAGCGTTCCTCATTAAGAATTTCTTAATATCTGATAAGGACAAATGCTCCTAACCAAGTGTTACTTTCTTCAACCAATTTAAAACTAGATAATATCAAAAAATGTGACTGAAAGACTATTCTTGCTCCAGAAAAACAACATAGACAATATTTTATCCAGTAGGACCTATTTTGCGGAAACGTAGCTTAAAAAGTTCTGTTGTACTGAGTTCACCTGTTTCTTTGTGCAATTTATGATGAAATCAAGAGAAATATAAGAAAATTCTCTCAACGGTAAGCGAAAGAAGAGTTTTCGACATAGTATATTGATTTTAAAGAGAACACTTTTTGACATACGCGGGCTGCTTTTTAATTCTTATTCTTAACAATGAAAATACAATTGTTAATCAGTGAAAATGGTTTTTCCATGATGCTCCATGATGATCAATACATTTCTGAATTCGATTGAACCAATTTTATAAACAGCTTTGTCACTGTGATGTTGGTATCTCCAAACCCTAGGTTTTCAATGTCTCAATGCCCAGTTTCGGTATTTAAAAATGCTTACCATGAATTTTTTTGTTAATGTTTGGAAGCCAAAACAAATCATTGAGTACCAAGTCGGGACTGTAAGGCGGATAATCTACCAGTTCTACGTTTTGACTGCTTGAAAACTCTTTTGTTGTTGATGTGTGGGAGCTCACATTATCGATGTGGGGGAGGATCTTACTTAAACTGTTGGTATTCATTAATTCACCGAAGATTTCCGGCAAACAAATGATTGTTCAAGTGGTGTAGTTGTGACTTGACCAGTTTTTCTGAAAAGACATACGACAATTTGCTTGGATTTGCTCCGTAGATCCATGATTCGTTACCTGTCATGATGTTATGGAGGTATTTTGAACTACCTTGACCGTGTTTTTACAACATTTTCTTGCACCAATCAACACGTTCCTTTTTTCAAGCGATTGTTAAATTATTCAGAATCCAACGGGAACAAGCCTTTATGATAGCTAAATGTATACATAAAATTGAATGTGTGTTGATCCCACTTATATCTGAGTACGCCTCCCGCTATACTACATGCTGATCCATCTCAATCATTTCGCGCACCGCATCGCTGTTTTCTGGAACAACCGTCGTTCTTGAACGACTTCACGAAATTCGTCGTCCGAAATATCGAATGAAAATGTTCATTATTTAATTCGATTTTACCACAGAGACACAACTTAGAATCGATATAAACAACACATGTTAAAATTCATCTGACAATAATTAGTGTTGGCTAGGCACAAGATTTTAAAGGCAGTCTTCATATTTGTTACAATACCATATATATAATTATTTTCATCAATCTCTTTGTTTACAATAGATGTGACTCCTGTTGCTTAATTTCCCATTCGACCGACAGTTAATGACAATTATTTCCAATTTGTTAGATCTATACTCATCAACCTCATTTATCAACCATCTGATGATTTTTTTTTAGATTTTTTTACATTACGTCTAGAAAAGATATGATATTTTTATTATTTTTTTGTTAGAATTCGGTTAAAAACTGACAATTGAAAATGCTTTTTATATTCCACGGTTTTATACTAGAGGTTTATAACCTGTATCGTTATTCTGCAAGTTTAAGAGATTGTGAACTTAAATATAAAGTCAAAGTAATATAATTGAATACTGGATACGAAATTTCTAATTATATTTGCACGCATTAAATCAAAAAGGACAATATATCGAAGGATATTTGTTATTATTTTGGTACTACTACAGAACACCCTTCCTAATGAGTGAAAAAAAATATTCTTCACTTTAAAACCATTTATTTTGTCTGATAACCTCTCATTGTTGTTGTTGCTGCTTTTCAGTTCTCCAAATTCCCAAGTGTAAACCCAAACTAAGCAAATAAATACAAAAAGGAAATTGCACTTATTGAAAAATTCCTATTCAACAGTTCGCCATCAATCAACGTACGGGTTCACTTCTAACAACTTCCACTTCTACTCGAGTCTTTTAAAGACTCATCATCGCAATCAGCAGTTCAAGTCTCTACTTAATCATCATTAACAACATTAACACATTGCGAACACTTGTACACCCGGAGACACACTCGTAAGTCCGCTTGTGCGCTTCGTTCTGCGTTTGCATGGCGCACTTTTAATCGCAATCGAAGCGCACTAAACCGCAATTCATCAACTTGTCTACCCAATTTCCAATCTTTTTGCACTTCCGTGCAGCACCTATAATATTGTCAACAACATTGCTGCGGTAGGAGCTTGGATTGTTGCTTCAGATGTCAGCCACAACAATCTAAGCATAGCAATTAGAGCTGCACATCACCGGTGAGGCACATAAACTCTTTGGTGTGCATTGAAATTGCATGGAAGCTTTACTGCTCCATAATAGTTATGTACTTACCTTTTCCAGTGGCACCAAAATCCCGGGATTGTCAGCTTGTGTGGTCGTTGCAGCCGGACGTTTCACACCACCGCGCGTCGCTGCAATACCCATGCCACCACGTCCAGCTACGCCTCGTCTGTATTTAGGAGCATTCTTGTCACGTAATTCGACTTCAAGTCGCAAGATGGCGTTCGTGTTATTGCCATTGCCACTGCTTTTGCCATGTTCCGGAACACTGATGTTAAGATTGGTGGTGCTGTTGTCGACGTTGGTCCCTACCACTGGCACGTGTTGCGTATACACGGGTGGCGGTGTTTCACTATTGGTACCTGTGAAGTAAATTAAAAGATATAAAAAAAGGAAAAAAGGCGTTGGTCTTGTAGAAAAAAGAGCGAAGGGTGTGCACTGAACCTAAATCACGTGTTTTTCATGTAATTTAACTGTGACGCTAAATTGGGCTATTGGGCTATGAAATATTACGATTATGTACACAGTTTAAACAATTAGAAATGTGACTCGCGATAGCACAGTTTTATGAGGGTTATGATTTCGTCACTTGGAAATTCACGAACGTTGGAAAAAGATTGCTTAAAAATGAGTTGTGAGTGATTAAAAATTAAACTTCAATTGTGAAACTGAATTGGAAGCAATAACAAAAATTACTTTTAATTCAAATATACGAATGATTATAATTTATATACGAATGAGTAAATTAGATGGTAAAAATATATCACCGCGATATATTGTTTTGCATTTAGAAGTAGAGGAATGGAAGTTCGAATTTTGGATACTTAATTAAACTCAAAATATGTATATGTTATGATATTAGACTTATTTGAAGGGAATCTACAATTCTTACTGGACAATACAATATTGATTTTAAGTTGTTAACACTTTAAGTAGTGATTATCATTTATTTATTGATATGCCGGAATATTCTATAGCAATTGAAAACTTACAAACCAATTTTAGACGGCTTTATTTGAATTACAAGTGGTCGCGTGTAGCTTCTGTACCTATAATACTTATGAATAAATAAACGAGCGGAGAAGATTTCCACACAGTTGTGGAGACTTCATTGAAGTAATTAGGTGAGAAGAGATAAGAGCACGAGATTTAAAAATACATCAGTCAATAAAACGTACGACTGACACACAGATGGCGCTGTCATTGTCAAGTCTATATGACGTTTATGAAGTACCAACCTTCTAAAGACTATGTGTAAAATTTCATGACATTTCGATTAGTCAGGAAAAAGTGACTGCCGTTTAAGTGAAGCTACTTTTGTTATTTTCAAAACAATGAATTCGAAACAATTTCGTGTGTTAATTTATCATTGCTTCTTGATGAAAACAAATACTGTGTACAAGCTCAGGACTATATCCACCGTATAGTCCAGATCTGGCCCCCAGCGACTACTGGCGATTCGCTGATTTCAAAAAAATCCTCGTCGGTAAGAAATTCATCTCAAATGAAAAAGTAATTGCTGAAACTAAAGCCTATTTTGAGATAAAATACAAGTCCTTCTACAAGCACGAAATCGAGAAGTTAGGGCAATAAAAAGATTATATTGATGAGTAAAATCGATTTTTGGCAGAAAAAATTTGTTTTTCTTAGGTAGTCACCCGTCTTATTAACTGATGTGTTACCTGGTGGACTGGGCTTATCTAAGCCAGTCCTATAGTTCTTTTTAAACAGTTAAGAATTATAACAAATTTTTTATATATTATTGAATTAACATTTTTGATTGGCCATACCGATATTAGAAGAATTGCTAAATACTCTTCACGCTCAGCAAAGTCTTGCCATGAATTGCTCAAGTTATTGCTACTAAGCAAATGTGAGTCACAATTTAAAGTGCAGTAAAATAATGTAATAAGTAAGAAAAAGGACTGCAAGACCAAATCATAAACTGCAAATGGATGGTGAAAAATTGTTGTCCTACAAACGTGCTAAGTTCAGTGCTTCTTTAAGAAATCGCTGATCGAATTAATCCGATCCCAAAAAAATCAAATATTAAAGAAAATATATAATGGAAAGAGTTGAATTAAAGGCAATTCGCACAATTCGAAAAACAATTCAGAAACACTTCCATACGTTACAAAGTCAACTGCGTGCCAGTGAATATGTCTACGCATGTGATTCTCAGATTTTCCTTTCATTGAGTGGCTCAATAAGCAAAACAATTCCAAAGCCGAAACGTGTAACAACTCACACCACGCACACGGTCGGGACAATATTACCATGAAGCTCATGGCAGCACTCAATACGCCTACTTGTCACGCCCCGAAGGTCTGTGCTGCGTATTTATTTGCTGGCAACGATATCTTACACTGTCAGTTTCAGATTTGCTCGACGTTGACTTGTTATTGATAGCGCCGGGTACATCGAATATGTGGAGTGTGTCTAATATTTTCTAACTATAAGACATTCAATTCAAGTGCTCCTATCGGTATGTGTAATCAGCGACAGAGACAGACGAGTATCCGAAGCAAGTTTGAGTGAGGTTATCGCCTGACACACATGTGCCAGGATAAGAGTAAAAAATTTAAAATTTTATTCAATTTTTTCTTTTCATTTTCTTCTAATTCGTTTCATTTGTTGTTATATCCTGAGATGCTTCGAAATATTAACGATTTGCAAACTACAAGGAGACATTGATGTATAACATTGTCGAAGATGGTCTCCCTCCTGTCTCTGTTTCTGTTTCTGTTTCTGTCCCTGTTGGTGTTGGTGTTGGTGTTGGTGTTCGTGTGCTCCAGCACTTACGTTCCGACTTGTCATTTAACTTATCTGAGCAGCTGTCCTTTCTGATGTACCCACTGCTGTTATTACTGCCATCATTGTTGTTATTTTTATGTGCATGTCAAGCCATCGAGCCATCGAGCCATCACCTTCCGTCAGTTGCTGTATTCAAGCTGCCTACAAGTTGTTAAGTGTTTATTAAAATGATGATGTCAGAACTTCAGTCAAATTCTGGTGTTTGCTGGGAAAACGATTTATTTAATTTGACTTTATCGTGATTAATTTTATGATTGATTGATCAGTTTTCCATTTGCTCTGTTCAAATTTTATTTCATTTGATTTATGTCAATTTCTCTCCTCCCATATACTCAGTGCGGACAACCAAATAACCTGTTACTTGTTTTCCATTATCTCGAGTTTGTTAACATCTTATACAGGTCCTCAAACAGAACGAAGAAATCAAAACAATATAGACACATAACAAAGAACTTTTAAAGCAATTGGTACAGCCGTTTTTCAAAATTTCTCTTAGTTTCAAAAAAAAATTCTTGAATACCATATTAAGAATGTTACCTTATCAAGTAAATATACAATAATTTACAGTGGAATACGTTTAAGATTAATATGTACCAGTGCCTATGTGTTAATAAGTACTGCATTTGACGGACTAATGTGGGAATGAAAGAGAAAGTACGCTTATTTTTTTCCATCATTGCAACAAAATGACTTCAAATCTATTCAAAATTACACAGTGAAGTGTTCTTGGCCTTATCTTGTATTTACTTTACACATCTGATATCCCAATAAGTAATTCAATTGTCACCACAACGTTTGCCAATGATGCGGCAATTTCAATCTAACTTATTTCGAGTGGCGTAATAGTTGTCAAAATGGTGAATTAAAATTAATGAACTGAAATGTACACACGTCATTTTTACCTTCAATCGGAGTACATATTCAACAATTTTACTAAATAAGATTCCCATACCACAAGCAGATAATATAACGTACTTAGGTATTCACCTAGACAGACGACTAACTTGGCGCAAGCATATTGAAGCCAAAAAAATTCAGATGAAGCTCCAAGCCTCTAAGTTGCATTGCCTCATTAATAACAGATTCTCCCTGTGTCTGGAGTATAAAGAACTCTTGTATAACAGCATCATAGAAACAATATGAACTTATGGTATCCAGCTTTTTGGCAATGCTAATGCTTCAAATATTGAAATTATCCAAAGAGGTCAGTCAAAAATTCTAAGAACAATCACTCGTGTGTCTCATGGTTTATTAGGATCATGCAATTAAAGAAATAGTTTAAATATTTTAATGTCTATTCCACTTACACAAATAAACATGAATCCTCAAATTCAGTTTTCCCACGATTCCAAAATAGAACGCCTGCAAATAATACCTTAAGTCTTAACGCCGTCGTTCTTATCAAGGCACTTGCATATTTGCCTCTAAATCGGAACTTTTTTACCAGCCAACAATAAAACCAACCAACCATGTACTTAACTCTTAAAAGAAAGATTAAAAATTTTGCAATTTAAATACCGCAGAATAACACAAACCACACCCCAGGAAAATGATCAATTGAGTCCATGCCAATATATTATTTATTGATTACGTTATTACTTATACTTGGTACAGCGCATCCAAGTCTATCCCAAATTAAGGTTTGTCAAATGAAAACAAATCCGTCTTCTTCGCATATTATTTTTATTGCTTCTTCTGCAGACCATTTATAGTTTCTAGAGCTAATGGCATATAGCTGTTATCTCCTCCGCAATGTTACCATTATGCGAGAGAACAATGTTAATCAGGTATGCCACACAATTCTTTCTTTCAACGATTAGAATATTGGGTTAATTGTGTCTTTTGGTCGTTTTAAATAAGCTTGTCGTTCCAAGTATATGTGAAAACTGGTTCTTTTAGTACTGCTTTTGTTGTGTACTGGTAAATCACGTAAGTCTTACGTATAGTTTAATTATAGTTTAGTTTTGGTAAGTTTGCATATATGGTAGTGTCAGATATTTTTTAGACTTATAAGGTGAGACTTACGCCTTATAAGCACAATAACTCAATAATATTAAGGAGGTTTTTTCGAGTAGTAGTGAACTACAACAACAAACATTCATTTTATATTATTTTAAGTAATTGAATTTTTAGCTGACCACACAGCTGTTTCGAATATTGCCAAATACCAATTATCAATGGTCTTGGAAATAATTCTTGTTTTTAATTATGCGTAAATAATTTTTTTGAGACTTCAAGAACCAGGAATCGAACTTAAGCGTTGTTTAATATAATAATTTATATCTCCCTTAAACTTTTTTAGTTGACAATTACTTACGGAAATAAATCCTTGGTTTAAAACCATAGAACTTAAAGATTCACGCTTTCCTGGCTCCTTGCGTATCACGTTTTCCACTTTTCTGTGTCGCAATAGTGCTAAAGATATCGGACATTAAAGTTTCAATTTCTCACAAGAGCTTCAAATCGCAACACCCTGGACCTCAAAAAATCCTTCTAGTACTACACACGTTTTCCTAGCTTTACAAATTACTAAGTTCCTTGATTGAAATTACACAGTTTATTAAAGTTTAGATAATAGAAGAATCGCATTCTAAATGAATATTTAAGTCCCTGCCTCTTATATATCTTTCACAAATTAAGAAAATTAATGCTTACGTATCCTATTATATACTATTCGATGTTAAAAAACAAATGAGTGTTAGGTGTTTTAAAGTAACAGAAGCTTTCGGCAGCCAGCTCGTTCGAAGGGTTTCTGACACGAGTTGGTAGTACCAAGTAATCTAATATCTTTGGTGGCTTGAACCTTGGTCTAAAGATTTAGACATGCTTAAAAATACTTAATATTATTTCAGCTTCTTTAGCCTCTTGATTGTCTTGTTGTTTCAGTGTAATTACTATTACACTAATAGTTTTCAAAAGAAGTCTGTGCTTTTCAAATGAAGAATTGAAGAAAAATGCACACTGCGCAGAGTATGACCTTAATAAAATAACAAGGACTCTAAATCCCCAGTGCTAGGTTGTATTCGCTACGTAACCCTTACATAGTTCAGTTTTCATTCTTATCTTCTTCAGTGTATTTTGTTTAACTGTATTTACCATGATTGTCAGAAACGGGGTCTGTTATTGAAATTGTGACATGTGATAAAGGAATATTGCATTTAAAAACCAAAACATTTTCTAATTTTCCGAAAATTTAGAAATTTAGCAATATCAAGCAGAAGCATGTCTATGTGTATCAATCCGTGGCAACAAGTTGGGTAGATTAAGTTGTCGTTCCGTGAATGCAAGAGCTCTTCTGATGTTAAACTGTGATGAAGTGCAGCAAAAATGAAAACAAAATTAAGCGATCAGTGCCCACATGAAGTTTAAGCCTCTGAATTGAAATTAAACTAAAAAAAAACTTACGTCAGCCACCTAAATGTCGAAGGTAATACGAGTTTTATTTTAGTATTTAATTTGTCGCATTAATTTACTTTATTAGCCTAGTTTACGCACAGCTCCATTACTGTGTCTGGGTATGTTAGGTCATAAAAATTTAGTGTTAAAGTTTAATACTAGCAGATTACATCTTCGCTGCTCCATAAAACACGGTCAATGAATCTCTGCATGTCAACCATATAAGCAAACTGATTTGCAAACAACTTAACTCACCCTTTTAATGCATTCAGATCTGTTACAAATCTTACACGTGTTCCGGTATATTGCACGCTCACAGGCGTAGAGCGGTACTTAAAATTTTATATGACAACATTGAAGCCATTGAAGCAGTTTCACTCTCACAGAACAGCCCTTAATACTTTTATTGTAGTATTAAAGTCAAGCTCATCTAATTTCAACAGTTCCAACAATTCCAACCAGACAACGCGTATGTGCGCCCTAAAGCTTTCATAGCATAGCCTTAGGCGACATTTTTATTATGTCGTAAAACAATTAATTTTTTTCGCATATAATAACACAACAATGAAGTGTTACGCAAACCACAGAGTACACAAACATCATCACAAGGATTGCGCACAACAAATGCTAAAATTACAAATTAGCACTTGCAGTTATTTAATTAAGCTAATCCCTAGAAGTATACTGTGCTATGCAAAATAATGTGTGCCGTCTCATTTACAGCGCTTTTAATTACAGTCATGAGTTCGCTTGAGAGTGCGTTAGTTTTCACATTTTTGCTTATTTTCATGAATAATGTGCTTGTGTGTGTGGCTAGATGTGCGGGCTTATCTTACCGAAAATGAGTTCACGTTCGAAATTTGCTGTTGGCACTACAATCAAGAAGACGACGCCAGGCATTTTAAGTTCAGCTCTCCGAGTCCAGACTTCAGCAAGATTTTGAAATCTGTTTATATTTCCTGCAAAAAATAATTAAAATAAATTTATTTTAAAAGGGACAAAAACGGTGCAAATACAAAAAAATCTATTTATTTTTATTTATACATTTAAATGCCCATATACTTCTAATCTCAATTCTAATTCTAATCACAACAATGAAAAAAATAACGAAAGCAAAAAATTAATCTAGTTAATCATAACTTCATCTAAAATTTGAAATAAAAAACTTTTGAAGGAATATAATTGATAATCTGAAAATCATCTCAGCAATTGAAGATTAATGCAAGAAGTGTATATATAGACAGTGCTTCACTCTGTTTGGAGTTCATCCATTTTTACACTTACCGAACACTGTAAATAAAATATCTGTAAATAGAAAGACAGAAAAATCATGTTTTTCAAACTACAATCATTACCAAAAAATGAGTGAGCAACTATCAACCTCTCAGTTTTTGTGCAGTTAGAGAGCATTATCATAGTACTGGGCCACAAGTGCTACAGAATTTTTTGTTTTAGAATCCTGAAAACACTTCAAACTCACATAGTTTAATTAAATTTAACGGCGAATAAATTGCTTGAATGAAGGGGAGTTTCCTTCGAATTATGAAAGAACGATTTTTTAAAACGGGTATACCTAATAACAAAAGCCTAAGTTATTCGCAGTAAACACTTACACAAATTACTTAAAATTTGATTCAGATTTACACTTACACTTCAGAAGAATTATAAACAAATAACAAAACATTTTATAATTATTATGCAAGTATACAAAGCTATAAAATCTTAAGTGTCTTCCCGAAACTTCCCGAGTCAATCTTATTTATATTATTAAATAAGTTGAATTCATTTTAAAGCTATCATTCTACTCCGGAGAATGAGAGGGAGAAGAAAACTTTTTAATTATGCAACAGAAACAATTTCATAAAGTATATCACTAATTTGTGGGAGAAATTTAAATTAATCATTGCACAAAAAAATAAAATTTCAAAAAGAATGAGGCTTTTTACAAGGCCATCAATTTCAGGGTTCCAAGAACAATACGCCTATGATTGAGATTTCAATTGTTCAGTGTGTATGGACAAAATATTGTTTGGAAGTTAAAATTATGTTGTTGTGAAACTTAAACACAACATCGTTGTTTAATGGATCTTTTCAAGGTCATTTCTGACGACTTATGGGAACATAGTTATTAATATCTTGACCACAAGTTCATCAAAAGCGTAAGGATTATTCATAAAAATGCGATGCTTTTACTTCTCCTCACTACACGAAGTAGAGTTCAAGAAAAAAAAAACAAATCATATAAACTTGGTGGTAAATTCCCAGAACATACAGATGAACAAACAAATTTCAAAACTAACTTCTGTGTCATTTTATTTTCAATTATATTTATTATTATTTAATTGATTTTTATATTCCCTTTCAGATATGCGAGAACTAAAGCAGAAACCAATAATGGTTAATAATTATATATAAAACATATTAGGGATTCTCAATCCAATACTCAATCACACCTATTAAAACTCTTTTTAAGAATAATAAAGTTTAGAGTTATTATACTGCTATTTAATAGCTTCATAGTGTTATTAACAAGCACTATTTTACTGATATAGCAAAATTATTCATTTGACATTGCAATAAATTATTTGTTATATGTAAAGTTATTTTAAAAATTCAGATATAATAAGGTATTATGCTAATATGATCGCATTTCATTAAGAATTGATCGAACTTTAAAGAGACACATAGATTATGTTGTACAAATATACTGGTGTTTTTATTTCATGATTCCAAGAGCAAACACAAATTACTCACATCTGTGATTGAAATTTTGATCATACTTTTATATCAGTATATTGTTTGAACATCACCATTAAACTCATCACTCAAATATTCTTGATAGAATATTTCAATTTTGAGCCTAATATTGAAAAATCTCATTTATACTTAATACACTTTTTGCATGCGTTTGAACCATTTGTCAAAGCATTTTTTCTAATCTTCTTTAGACACCTCCAAAACGTGAGGTTTTAATGCAACAACGGCTTCTTCCGTCGACAAAAACTCGTTATCCACGTAATTTACGAATATTCTTCACATTCGAGAACACGAAAAACTTAAGTGCCAACTCAGAACTGTAGAGCTGAAGACCCATCAATTCGGTTCATGACTATTTGAAAATTCAAAATCGGTTCTTAGTAGTTTGTTTGCCGCGAAGTCTGAGCACTCATTATCTCTTAATGGAGATGGAGACGCCTGTTTGTTTTCCGTATTTCACTGAAGATTTCCAATTGGTTGTCACAAATGGTTGTACACCATTTAGAATTGACCGTTTTACATTCCTGTAATAGTACTCGTATAGTTGCCACATGACCAGTTTTTCGAAAAAACAAGCAACCATTTGTTTCGAAGTGCTTGAAGCGCGAACAACTTTTTTTGAATTTGGTTCATCTTGAAATACCTATAGAGCTAATTGCTGTCTCATATATGCGTTCCAGCTTATCCGCATATATCCATGATTCGACACCTGTTATAATCTTATACTCATATATGTCTTTTAAGGCACTGTACTTATTGTGCACTGGTGTACACCAATCGTCACGAATATCTTTTTGAGATTTCATCATGTCAAATGATGGGGGCTTCAACGAGAAAAAACCTTTCCCATTGCTAAATGATGGTGCAATATATTTTATATGCTGGTGGAACTAATGCCTAGGGTTCCACCTTAACCTCAATCACACATTATGTCGCATGACAGTCTTGTATTACAACTACCAGTTTCTGCACATCGTCAGTGTTTTCTGGTACAACAACTGAACAATTGATTTTGGATAATCTTCACGACCCGAATTTCGTCAGTAAGCTAACTGCGACCACGATTAAAATCATTGTAGCTTACTGTGGCGATGTGAAAGTAAATTGATCGATGCAAACTTAACTTGATACTCGTAATCCACGTCGAAAATCGCTATAAATCATCGCACGAAAATTTTCTCGGGTTAATTCCATTTCACACTGTAAATAATCACTGTAAATACACAAATAACGCTGTTTTGACAAAAAGTTTAAGGTTGATTATATTTAATAATGTCAAAGTTTCGTATGGAAATATCAGATGACGTTTGACAACAATCAGTGTTGCGAAGGCTCAAAATAGAAATAGTCACCCTCGTATTGTGGCTTGTGCCACTCTACTTTTAAAACCACGTTTCGTCCACATCCATAACTTAAATTTCACACTAAAAGAAATAATCCTCTAGATAAATAGTGCTTCATGCTTCATATTAGTGAGGAAATTATATATATTTTAAAATCTATAATTGAAGCAAAATAACGTTACTATAGATTCATCTATTTCTATAATAAGTTTTCATCAGTTTTTCATGCTCAGTGGCTGTTATACGACACATGTTGTAAGATGATAAACTAAACATATGATGTCTTTAATGACATTTCTATATAATATATGTTGCGAAAACATTGCTGCCATATTGAGATCACAATCTGGATATGTGTTATGCCATGTACTATTTAGAATACTTATGCGCTAATATAGATTTTGCTGAAGCATATTTTAGAGTTTTTATTTTTTCTGTTCTTCATATTTACATTTTATTAGGCATTTCTTTTTATATTTTCAGATTAAAGTTTTAAGATTTACATGATTCTCTGTTTTCAATAGAATAATTGCTTCTATGACAATCCTGCTCAGAAATATTTCATGTCTAGAAATAAGCATCGATGCTATTGCCTTTGAGCCTTGAAAAAAATGTTCTCTGGAAACCAAATGGAAACTAGATGGACTTTTTTTATAATAACCTACAAATTATACCTCAGCTAATATAAAATATGTGTCACAAATATTGACATCACTCACAACAATCCATACAACCGAAGGAACAACTAAAGTCTATACTAGTTATTCTTCAGAAAATGTGATTTGCCAGAACTTGAATTTTTTCAAAGCAAAAATACAAGTAAATTAAATAAAATAAAAAAAAAATAAAAAAATTGCATTCTTGATTTTGTTGTTGACGTTTCATGTGTGGAGATGGCCAATCAAGCCGCTGCTGCGAAGTTGAAAATAGTTTTCATATCCATTGAAATTTCGAAAGGAAAACAAAAGAAAAACTCAGGAAAACAAAACAAACCAGCAGGACTCAAAGGCGAATAGCTTTTTAAGTCTTACTTAAATTACTGTTGCCAAATGCACTAAAACGCATTAGAAAATGTGGCGAAGTGTTGCAAGTCCACGCTGCCACTTACTATATATAAGATATGCTTTTAGTTTGATTTTCTCCTATAGTCCCTGCTCGACTGCATGACCACACCTCCCAACCCAACACCAAAAACTCCAACAATTCAATGAGAAATTAATAGAGTTTCTTACAGTCTATGTTTTGGAAATAGTAGCACTTCCCTTAGGACCATCAAGAACTCTATTTGAAGTATCATACGAAACACGCAGTCAGACGAGATACGCGACAGAAAAAATGACTTCAGCTTAATCAAGCATGCTCTGAAACCAACTGCAGAATAATAAGTTTATTTTTTGGATATACTGAAGAAACAATAACAGGAAGTGTCTTTTCGTTGTATCAGTTCTATAAGACACAACAAAATAGAAAAAGCTAATCATCTTTTCAGTTCCCACAGATATCCAGATAGCCTATACCTAATAGAGATTTTCCAAATATGGTATACCTTCCGATCAAAAAAGAACGAGAGGCCTATTTTTGAATTCCCGCGCTTATCCAATCGGTAAATTCTTTTTATTTTCACGCTGGGAACACTATTACACACATTCTGTCAAAGTTTAACGTATATCGTACGATTATTTTTTGTTTGGCGTCTATACAAAGAAGGCGAAAAATTTTTGGTATGGCGATTTTTATAATGGATCAAAAATTAGAACAACGTGCGTCCATCAAATTTTGTGTTGCAAATGGATTCAAGTGTGTCGAAACTGTTAAAAAATGTTAAAAAAGGCCGTTGGTGATTTGTGTGTGTCACAACC